CTCTACGCGATATGGCCGCTCAACGTCTTTCCCAACCTGATTAAGGAAGCGTGGCCGCCCCTGCCTGTCGCACGCAGCACGGTTGCAGCTCCCAATGTCGGGGCGGTGAAGGGTTTCCACCTCGCGGTCCGACTACCTCTTGGCTCTACTCGCTCGGCCTTTGACGGGGAGTGGTACTGATTGCTATCGCGCATCTACCTTTCTCTTTCTCCTGCTGCATCCGATTTGGTGCACGGGGTTGCATTTCTTCACCCTGTCCGGACGTGCCCTCCTCTCATGGTTCCGGAATTTCTAGTAGTGCTCGACGTCCTCTTCTCTAGAATCATCGACCTTCTCCTCCGGCCCCAATTTCGCATCAGATTCGGTCTGATTGAAGAGCGCTCTCAATTCGGAACAGTCTTCCTGACAGCAGAAGTCAATTTCGTAAATCTAATCGAGCTCCATCTAATTCCTGCGTCCTGAGGATCGTCCTCCTTCTATTTTCAGACGTCGATTTCAAAAAGGGCCTTCAATCTCTTGCCTCCGATCCTTGAAAAATGGACTTGACGGAGCCACTTGAGCCGGAAGTGTTTGATAGTGGAGCTTCGTCTCACAGAATCTGCTGACTCGCTGTGACGGACACGGATTCTAAAGCTGTTCCATGCATACACGAATACAAAGAGGTTTACTCTGCATGCTCTCCATCCCTTTTTCCGCACATACTGGAAAGAGTTTTAAGAATTGCATCATCACCGTCGTTCAGTCCAAGAAGTCAATTCAGTTGAGTTCAATCGTTAAATCCAAGCTGCTTTCCGAGGGCTTTGGGCTCGTCTGGATCTTTCCTTCCTCCCTCTCTATCTATCTATCTATCTATGGAATAGAAATTTGATCAATCGTGAGGAGAACTGAAAAATCCTTTCATGCACTCATGCACAACGAGTTTCTATATGAGGTCTAGCTAGATCTGTCAAAAACTGAGAAGAGGAGTATGATTTCAAAATACTATGAGAAAGATTAATTCACAAAATGTATCTACGAGGGCGGACTAAAGATAAGCTCAAAAGCACTTGGTACTAACTATCTGCGTCCAATAAATTACCCGAACCCGATACAATGTATCGGTTGTATCCTGGTAAGGCTTACCGGGATACACCGGAAATGAGTTTAACATAATTGATGCTTGATACCTTACACGTAAGGTAAGAGTAACAAGTCATTCCACATCACAACTCTCACAAGACCAAAGTGGGCCACCATATCACCAATCTTTCCGTAGAATAGACCTAAGTTCCCTGTAGAAGTACTGGCCGCCGCTGTCCCACGTATGTCGAGCTGAGTTGCATCTTGAGTGACAAACCAAATAGAGCAGACATGATTGAAAGTACGACGAAGATTGTGAAGGAATCAAAGCATTGTACTGGACCTTGGAACTATGGCTGCTTGAGTTAGAACCTTGTAGTGTCACGCAGACCTGTTGAAGGTCTGACCGACGGCTCAACTCAATCAGCATGTTCCCAGTTTTGATCACTCACCACCTGTGGCATCAAGACCTCGAAGTCAAGCCTGGTCAAACCTTCAGATACAAAGTTTACAACCAGATCGCCGTTTGAAAAAAATTCTGCCCCCACCCTCCCCCAGTAGCAGATGTTTAATCCCCAGGATTTACCTGGAGGGCCAGGCTGATCGACTCAGTAGTTGATGTCTGGTTCGCAAGGCAGGAGCATTCATATGGGCTACGAATTTATGTATGAAAGTAGAAAGTACGGCGAAGTTCCTATTCTTGGCTCATTCGATGGTACCAATTATGTAAACTGCATTTCCATCTACCAGACAGCATTCAGTCTGATTCACTTGAACCGTAGGCACAGAAACCAATGGAGAGAGAGAGAGAGCTCTGATGTGATTACAGTTCCTACTTTAAGAGCTTCATCGCATGTGATCAGAGCTGAACAAATCGAATTGATAATCATTCGGATCCATCGTACCTTGAGTCTAATGAGCTGGGGTGTGGGGGTGGTGGACGACATTGCAGATCCTGAGAAGCGTAGCCGTCAGAAAGTTCAGGAGTACGAACGACATTGACGATCGCTGCTTCGGATGGTACCTCTCCTGTAACCTCAGAGTCAGGAAATCCGGCAAAGTGTGGGTCGCACTCTGAGCTAGTTTATTGGTTAGTTCAATTAATCCAATTCTTAGTCGAAACGAAGGCGACACCGGCTAAGTCGTCCGTGATTAAGGTCCGTGAAGATGGTGATGAGTGAGGCCACTGAATTTGGGACCACCTGGTGTTTTCATTCGGAAGGGCATACGCTGTTCATACATGGGGCTGTCTGTCCATCGACCAGGAGTGGAGGAAAAGGAGGAGGAGCAGGAGGCAGGAGGGACAGCGGTTCATTCAAACAGCAATCCAACACTGCTACTGTGCGCGAGGACATCTCTGGAGTATGAGGAAACCTGAAGGCTTTGGAAAGTCAAGAATGACTCTCATTTATTCGGTCAACTGATATTACCTCTACCTCCAAATCATTTAAACAGGGTTTGATTCAATGAGCAGAAATAGTTTTAAACAGTGCTTTTTTACCTGCTGGTCGATTGAGGAGGCAGCGTCTTCCATCTGATAATTAAGATTTGATGGAAGATGTGAAATTAGACACGTATGCAATTCGTTTGGTTCAGATATTATTTGTTTGTGGTCAGATTTAGTTACAGTTACAGTCTTTGAAAACTCGGGCAAACCGTCCCAAAGGTTTGTGAAGCAAGAATGTTGGCGCTCGTCTAGCAACGTGACTGATCCTTGAGTTTTGGGCTGGCTCAAAGCTGTTAGAGGTTGAGGCTGCAGGCGACGGAGTATTTGGAGCGAGTCAGTGTCGAGAGAGACGAATATGGGCAAGACTTTTGTTTTATCTCCCCGGGATTTCGTGAAGATCACATCGAGTGCACAGTGCTGCCGCATATAGGGAGTGTTTCCTCGCTCTTGATGACAATATTCTTTTGTCCTGCTCCTTGGTTCATCGAGTCAAAGAGATACGCGAGTCAGGGTTCGACACGCCAACACGGTCCGAATGCTGGATGCATGGATGGACTGTAATGATACATGGTGCATCTTAGATGGATATCAGCTATCAATTTGAGATTTCTCTGCATCAAGAAGATTCTTAAGCATAGTTTGAAGTGAGGGTCTAATTTCTCAGCAAGTTTTCAGTTCCATCATAGTTTTTCGGCTCCGAAGAATGTGTCAGGAGACGTACTTGCAGCAATAACTTCGTCGTTGCGTTGTAATTTACCATGCAGTGGGAAATCTCAGTAATCTGAATGATCCACCTAACCCCCTTTCAAATCAGAATATCAAGTCGTTCATGACATATTGAAAGTTTTTGCGTGACGCCTGGTACGTGGAGTGTTTCCTTCCCATAGGCAGCGTAGGTTGAAAATGGGACGGCAGAGTTCAGGTATATCCAGGTTCAAGTTAAGATCTTGAAATACAGGCTGCAGTGCTTTGTCTGACAGTGAGAAGTGCAGAAGACTCTTCCGCTACACTGAAATAGACTCCAGAAAACACGAGGATAAGTTGGACTTGTTTCGTGAATTGCATCCATGAACTAATCGCTCGATATCTAGAGATCACATCAGGAACCTGTACGGACATCAAACCGATTCATGAAAGACAAGAAGATCCATGAGTACGTTCCGGATATTGAATCAGACTTGATCATGACCACTTTGAAGCACAATGACCTTCGGAATGTTGGTAATCTGATCAGATTGTTCCTTCTCCTGTATGGAAGCAGTGTATTTCGCGATAAATTGTGAGTTCTTCGATTTTATGGATACACGATCCACGAGAAATCCATTCACGATGAAAACCAGAAAATGAATATGAGGTTCTCCTGAAACTTGGCCGGATTTCAAACTCAGGTCAGAGACCGTGAACTTTGTCACTTGGGTACGATTATTATTAGATGCTATATTAGAAGTTACTAAGAATGAGGAAGCAGAGCAATCTGAGAAATTTCTCATCCTCGAGAAACACAACAGTCTCAGTTCTAGACCATTATGTCGCCAGTTCTAGACCATTACGGATGAATTTCCATAACGGACCGAATACTACTCCAGATACTCCCTCTTCAGGTATCAGAGTAACCGCGTGATAGGCGCCAATAAGTTCTACTCTGAAATAATGACGTCGACGAAGGTTGTGTGATACCCTGACAGCATAGGAACCCGCAAATCACATTACGCTTGTACATGGAATCAAAATTGACAAATGCAATAGAAGAAACGAGCAGAAGAATGCATTTCGATCTGTCACAGCATAATACTATCTTGGAGGAGCAGTTAAGGACACCTGCAATATTTCTAAGCATGTTCCAATCATGCCCAAGATATACGTATTTCGATCCCAAGTACTAACTATGAAAACTAATATTGAAAGGGAAAGTTCCGTTGAACCGGATACTAATATATACATCACAAAGAAAAGAGAGTGGACTCTTTCATGATGGGGGAGGGGAATCGGCGGCTATAGCCTCCTCCAGGCAAAGTCTAGCACTGTTCAGCGTGTACCCGAAAACATCGTCTTCGTGGACTCGAAGACGATGTCTTCGATTCTGTGAAGAAATCTTCGAGCCGAGTCTTCTGCGGACCCCGATGCACGCGCATCGCTCAGCTCAAAAAATGTGCATGTATTTATAATCTCGGTAGTAGTTAGAAGAAGAAGGGGAACGTGTGCCACAAGAGCGAAGGGAACGGAGAGAGCTAGTGGTACTAATGCTTGTTCTCCGAGACATCTCTGTCCACAAACACAGGCAGAATGCGTCGCTGATTCGACCCAGGCCTCAGAGTTTGATCGATCTGTGGTAGGAACCTCAAGACTTCGACCTTCCTGCTGACAAATAGTACATCCAAGGGGTGACGCCATTATACGAATCGATTTTCTCAGAGGGCATCCGCGGTCCATGACGTCTGAAGATGAGTGGGATCAGAAGTCAGGCACGTGGAAACTGCGAATGTGGTGGGCGAATATGAAGACGAACAGTAGAAGCTGCTTGGTGGCTCTGCTTGTGCTCTGGGTGCTCGCCTTCCTGGCATTGCAAAATTTCGAGAAGAGACCTGCGACGAGCTCCAGTGCCCGGATGCTATTGCAATCCAACAACTCCAACGTGCCGGACTGTCAGAGAGTTTGCGGCAACGTCAATATCACGTACCCCTTCGGTTTATCAGCACAATGCGCCTTCAGCTCCTACTATGTGCTGAATTGCACGGACGACCTGGGACCAAATCTCATGACGAATAGATCAGACCCTGGTCCGTGGCCGGTTCTGATTTACATATCGGCCACATCCAATCTCCAACAATATTTCAACAACAATGGCACCATAGCTGATGGATATTTCGAGGTGCCTTTTCTGCCAGTAACGCAAATATATCCTGACCACATAACCGTAGATGCGACGCAAATTAAAGCGATGGGTTGTTGGGCTACGGTCAATGCCAGCCTTTCTCTGGACGCGCAAAGCCCTTACTGGATTTCTCAGAACAACTTCTTCATCGTCGTATCTTGCGATGCTGAAGGAACGGTTTCGGGTTTTGGTGAGTATCCTGCTGTAAATTACAGCACGTCGTGCGGCCCAATTCCGTGTCTCAACTCGTTGGTGGCGCCGTACTGTAACGACTATGACTGCTGCATTCAGCCCGTTGGATTGACCAAGCAACTGACTATGTCAGGGGGAGGAGTAGCTTTTCAAGAATTCCCGAATTGTGGCTACTCCACCCTTCTGTACCCAAGTACGTTTAATCTACCAGGGAGAGGATATACACCAGGGGAAGGAGTTGGTGAGGGAACGTACGGAGTCGCTCTGTGGTATAACATCCCATGGGCTGCGACTGTTACCAACTGCACTGAAGCTGCAAAGGATCAAGACAAATTTGAATGCTCCAATAATGGAACATGCCATGTGCAGCTCGACGGCTACTACTGTCAATGCCAGACGCCGGGCTACGAGGGAGATGGTTATGCATTGGGCACCGGCTGTAAAGGCAAGTTGGGGCTTATAATTTGCTCGTGCATCTACAATTGCGATTTCTGCCCGTCTTGTTCCAGATCCTTCGCTTCCTTGAAAGTCTAAGCTTTAGACGAGAGCTACTAGTTGACTTCCCGAGACCGAAACTGCTGCTTTTATCATTTCACTGAGTGCATGGCATGCCTATGCCTCAGCCTCTTCCTCTACACACTGAATTCTCGGTCGGTTGCGGGAATCTTGGTAGTGTACTACACAGCGATGATGCCGCACTGATGTCTGGTTGAAACTTAACACTTTCAATGTGTCTGATCCCTTTCACGCGATAAGGTCGGAGACTCGACTGTAAGCTTGGGAATGCCTTGGCTAACATGACTTGTGCTCATGCCAGATATCAACGAGTGTTTGAAGCCAAACGATTGCTCCAGGATTGCTACATGCGTGAACACCGATGGGAGCTATGAGTGTAAATGCCCTGACAAAATGGAAGGCGATGGTAAAAATCCCCAGCTGGTTCCTAATGTTACCAATTGCATTTGTAAGTTTCTCTTGACCTGATATTCCATAATTCTTCCAAATTCCTTGAGGGTCGTGAAATTATTGAGTAGAGGATGTCACTTGAGGCCAGCCAGTCGACTGTCAGCGATTCATCCCTGACAATCGTCAATCGGAATTGACGGACCACACTTTGATTGAAGAGAGATTTGTGAATGTACTCGAGCAGGGATCGACCAGTGTAATACCGGAGTCTGCTCCCCAAAGGCTCATTGTTTTTTCAACACTACCTCTGGGGACTATAACTGTACATGCCAAGGTGGAACTTCCGGAGACGGGCTCGTAAATGGAACTGGTTGCAAAGAGACTTCCAATTTGGCCATCATTATCGGTGAGTATATCATTTTGTGGCCGAGAATCACTGCTTCCATCCAATTAACGCAATCCTAGTACACCATGTCCATTTTATGAATCGAGGAAGCGCGGAAAGTGTAAGTGAGGTGCAAAAATTCGGTTGCAAGATTTCTGGCCAAGTGAGGTGCAAGACTTCGGACCTAGTATGATCGCCGACTGTTGATGCGTTGTCGGAATTGGCAACACAGGCGTGAGTGTCGGTGGTGTGGTATTCATCATCATCAACAGCATTCTTTTATGGTGTTTCGTTCGGAGGAGGCGGCTTGCGTTCGATCCAGCGATTTTCTCACAGCAAGAGCTGCTGAATGAGATCGAGAACAAAGAGGGTGCCAAATTCTGCAAAACCTTCACCTTCAACGAGCTTCGAGAGGCAACGAAAGACTTCTCGGTCGAGCTCGGATCTGGAGGATTCGGCACCGTATTCGAAGGAACCCTGCCGGACGGAACCAAGGTGGCCGTCAAGAAGGCCAAACACGGAATGGGCGAGACACGAAGCGAGGCGAAGCAGTTCGTCAATGAAATTGTCATTCTGTTGCAATTGAATCACCGGAATCTCGTGAACTTGCTGGGTTGCTGCTTGGAGACACGGGTACCCGTCCTGGTATACGAATTCGTCTCTAATGGCAATTTGGACGAACACATCCAAATGAAACGCGCAACGGAAGCTGAGGGAGAGGCTGACGACACTAGCGATTTGTGTCATCCCCCCCTCAACTGGACTTTACGGTTGAAGATAGCCATTGAGACAGCGGAGGGTTTATCATATCTCCACTGGGGGACGTCTCCACCCGTTTACCATCGAGATGTCAAGTGCGCCAATATTCTTCTGGATAACGCTTACAACGTCAAAGTCGCTGATTTTGGTTTGTCGAAACTCGTCCCCCCCGAGGACACAGCTGCATATGCGGTCCCAACTGCAATACAAGGTACGAGTTACTGTGACCGCTGTTATGAGTCTCTCGATCTACCTTTTGCTTACTGAAGGTACTCACGTTTATGACGGATGAACTGACGCCTTTTGATTGTTTAGAGTGCCAGTCCAACTGGATGTATGGCTGGCTTGTGTGAAAACGCGTTGAGCACTTAGTCAACCAACGATGTTCCAGGATGATGTTCGTTGATTGGAGTTGTTTTGTTGGTTACTTGTGCAGGTACTCCTGGCTATATGGTAAGTCAACTTCGTTGATACTCAGGGAGTATATGTATCTTTGAAGATGAATGTATCAATCATGGTCAGTGGCTTTAAAGCAGAGGATTCAATTTGTCAATATCAGTGATTCCGCGGCTGATTATCTATCGAGGCTATATTCTTGGCTAAGTTTCCCAGTGAGGAACAATCCCAGATCACATTGTACTTCCTACCAAGATTTCTTCTTACTCATTCTGTTTTCCGTTTTCTCAAATCGGAAACATTCACCATATACTTTATATGGTGAATGTTTATGCTTTGATACTGACAGGACCCAGGGCTTTTGGACCAGTACGAGGTGAGCTCCAACCCAAGTTGAAGATCTAGTTGTTGCCTCAGTTCGAAAAGTCTTTCCACACTGAACATAGGAGCTCAGCAATTCGACTCCTCGATGAGTTCTCAAATCTCGAAGTATGAATTCACTTGAAATATGTCGCTGGAACTCATGTCTTGCATTGGCTTCTTTGTGCCCGGCAGTTAACGGACAAATCAGATGTATACAGTTACGGTGTACTGCTACTCGTCATTCTCACCGGGCAGAGACCAGTGGATCTTCGGAGACAGCCTAGGGATCAAAATCTTGTCAACAGATGCAATCGTTTGATGACTCAGGTTTGTAAAATTCTTAGATCTTTTTTCCCTGTCCAAGGGCTTACTACATGGGTCTTCGAAGTGCTGAATTGAATATTTGGTTGGCAGCAGATTCAGACGTTCGTTAGGCTTAACGTGTTTGCACAAAGTGACTAGGCTGCGTTGAAGTGTCGTACATATATCTAGGTACAAATATATTTAACTAACTCCTCTCGAACTGATTTGATTTTATACTGAAATCTTCTACTGAATTTGGACCTCACCGACGGAAGTTCTCACCTGCGTAAGACGAGATATCTTCACTGAACTACGTTTCTCAAGCATCTCACTCTGTGTTGGTCTTGGTATTTCTTTTTGCTAATATGATGAAACGTTCCTTCTCCTGGTTGAGAACAGGGTCTTTTCGCGGATATCATTGATCCAATATTATCAGAGGCCGCGGAGAGTCCATACACCCTGGAAGCCATGGATGCTGTTGCCAAGGTATCAATTTCTCGGCCCAAGTGAAAGTCGATACTGGATATCACTCCTGAACATAAGTCCTTCTGTGAAGTGTTGTTGTTTGTTTCCTTAAATTACCGATCAAAGCCTTCCCAGTGTTTCAGGTCTCACTAACGTAGCTCGTATTGCAGCTTGCAATGAAGTGTGTAAGCAGAGATGGCCACGATAGGCCAACCATGAAAGAAGTGGTGTCGGAGTTACACACTATTCACCGAAAGACACAGACGTCAGTTTCAAAAATGGTTAAGAGTCTGGAGGAGAAGTTTAACTTTTCAGAAGAGTACACTTTGGTTCCACTTGCTGATGGACAATGGCACAAGTCCTACGACATATCTACCTCAATCTACGCCGTAGGCCGGTAGGTGGTCGGAAATTGAGAGTTGGCAGCAGTCAGTGTGTTTGAACTGTCGAAGCAAGAAAGAAACCCGTCCCATGAAAATTCTTGAGTATGGGATCCTTTTATTGTATCATTAGGGACCTGTAAACTAAGAGAGCATACGATGATTCGAAGTATTAACAATCGTTCGATCAGGTTGATTATCGATCGGTTCCTGGATCCTTTTCCGGGCCTGTAGCTGCAGTTTTTTTTAGTGTCTTGCTTGGGTATTCATCCTTTTCTAGAGTAGAGAAAGAAACATCATCTTGTCTTCCAGAAGTTTGTCATGGGATGGAAAAGCACCTTTGGTTTCAGATTAGAGAGTCCAAACTGTTAGTCTTGTTTTTCCTCATCAGAATCTATTGTAAATACTTAGTTTAACCTCCCAATAGTGACAACTCTTATGAGTGACATCAAATTCAAGAACTATTAGATTGTAATTAGTAAATCTGCCTAAGAAGAACTGCACAGGACTCAATGGCAATAGTGACAGTTCTAATTGTAATTTAGAAGATACATATTTATGATCACAATACAAAGTGTAGAAAGTGTAATGTAGCATATGTTTTTTTAGATGTCTATCTCGACAGTTCTCTGTCTAAGTTTCAGTAAAATACATCACTGCAGACAGTATCATTGATTGTTTTACTCAAAATTTTGTGAATGTATCCATATTCAAATTCAATAATAGCACGAACTTTAATCGAACAATACAGAATATTAAATGAAGAAAATCTTGCAAATAAACAATGCACTTTGAAAATGTTATTGTGGAACTTCCGATAAAAATGTTATGCACTTTATTTTTGTGAGTGAAATTCCAATAGTGACGTGCAACCCTACTACCCTCATATGTCATTATTGTGAGTTTGTACTCAAGGCTGGGCATTTTACTCTTGTGAGTGACTTACAACCCTAGCTATATATGTCACTATTGGGAGGTTAAACTCTGCATTAAGGAGAAATCGTGAGAATTTGAGAGGATAGATGATGGAAGCCTTCATAGTTTGACAACTGGATTTTCATCATGTCATCTCGCCTCTGCTTTCGTAATTGAATCTAAACGCATGGGAATAAGCATTTAAAAAAACTTGTTTCATTTATAAGGTGGATCTTTTTATCATGATAGTACCAAAGCTTATGGGTTGCTATACATGTGCATAGATTTAAAGAATTGAATCAACAGAATATCGAAATGCAAACATTGAAGTATGACGACATTGCAGGCTACGTACACGGAAGCACAAAGAAGTTATATTGATAAACATCTAAAAGTATCAACGAGAGATTTTGCTAGCTCTCCTTTATATTAACAGCATAACCTAAATCCTAACTATGTTTATCTAACCTAGGTTGAAATATACTGGAGTTAACTACTTACATATATTTAGGTGTCATGTCACTCCATCATGTAAGTTATGTAATAACCCACATCACCTGGAAGAATGTTCATTGAAAATACTCTAGTATGTAACCAAATCACCATGTTCAACCATATGTAACAATCATAAATATTGCAATGAATTGAAATTACTGAAACATATTTTATATTGTAAATTGTTTGGAATATATAAGGCATGAAACAAAGGAATATTGAACACAAAAGACTTGAACCATATATTTGATGTCAAAAAGTTCAATCAAAACCTAGAAACAATACTGCAATTAGATGTATATACAATTACTCATGATTCTCAGATTAGTTCATGATTACTTAACAAAGAGAATCTGTAGAAAGAGAAAAAGGTGAAGAAACATTACCTCTTCCTAACGACTGTCCTCCCTCCCGTCATGGCCCTAAACTTTACAAAAATCAGGAGAACATGGTTGAAGTGGTAAGATACGAGAAAAAAGAAGTCTTAGTCCACGAAAACAACTCGAAATCATGTTTCGGGTGTATCGTGCTAAGCCTTACCTAGATACACCGGAAATGTATTGAACTTAATTGAAGCTTCCTACCTAACCAGGTAAGGTATAAGAACAAGTCACTTCATTCCACTGAGCAGTCCTCACATCACAACTCTCATGAGACCAAAGTGGGCCACCATATCACCAATCTTTCCGCAGTAAAATCCTAAGTTCCATGCAGAAGTGCTGGCCGCTGTACTACGTATGTCGAGCTGAGTTGGATCTCGAGAGACAAACCAAATAGAGCAGACATGATTGAAAGTACTTCGAAGATTGTGAAGGGAAGCAAACTATTGTACACCAGATCGCCGTTTGAGAGAACATTCTGCCCCCACCCTCCCTCGTAGCAGGTGTTTTATCTCCAGGGTTTACCTGGAGGGCAACTCAGTAGTTGATCTGTGGTTCACAAGGCATGAACATTATGGGTTACGATTTTATGTATGAAAGTAGAAAGTACGGCAAAGTTCCTATCATTGGCTAATTTGATTTTACCAAATTAGCAAACTCCATTTCCAGTCCACAAGATCAGACAGGCTTCAGTCAGGTTGACTTGAACCGTGGGCCCATAAACCGTAAGAAAGAGAGAGAGAGAGAGAGAGATGAGAGTGAGAGCTCTGATTTGATAACAGCTCCTACTTTAACAGCTTTATCGCATGTGATCAGACCTGAACAAATCGAATTTATCATCATTCGGATCCATCGTGCCTTGAGTCTAGGGAGTGTGACGAAATTGAAGGTTTTGCAAAGTTAAGAACGATTTTCATTTATTCCGTCAACTGATCGTAATATCAGTTATACCCTCTACTTCCATATCATTTGTACAGGGATTGCTTCAATGTGCACAAATAATTTTAAACTGTGCATTTTTTACCTGCTGGTCGATCCAGGAGGCAACGTTTTCCATCTAAATATTAAGAATTGATGGAAGATGTGAAGTTCGACACGTATGCAATTCGTTCGGTTCAGATATTATTCGTTTGAGGTCAGATATAGTTACAGATTGTGAAGCAAGAATGTTGGCGCTCGTCTAGCAATGTGACTGATCCTTGAGTTTTGGGCTGGCTCAAAGCTGTTAGAGGTTGAGGCTGCAGGCGACGGAGTATTTGGAGCAAGTCAGTGTCGAGAGAGACGAATACGGGCAAGACTTTTGGACGTCGCTTCTAAACGTCTAAACGCTTCCAAACGTCGCTGAAACATTCAGATTACTGAGATTTCCCACTGCATGGTAGCGTTTAGACGTTTAGACGAATATGGGCAAGACTTCCGGTTGCATCCTTGTACGGCTTCCCATTATTTTGCTATCCAATCCTGCCTCAACTTAAGATTCAAGATCAATACTCACAAGTTTGCTTCGTAGTTTTGGTTCATGCATCGGCCGAGGCTACTGAACACCTAAGACAGCATTGTCAAAAGAACTTTTGCTAGTTTGTTTACGCCCCTAGATGGTGGATATAACTTTTGACTTATCTGCGTACAAGATGGGCCACCGCACCGCGCTCGCACTGCGCACCAGCAAGGACGAGCCCGCTGCGCGATGCGTATCGATCTGATTTCGACCCGAATTTAGACCTGGTCCGTCTACGCTTACCTGCCCACGCTCGCCTCGAATTCGACTCTGAATTTTCTACTGCGATCCACCTGCGTTTCGCCAACGATCTTGTTTGTCCGTCGCCTGCCTGAAATTTTGATCGATCGCCTGCCTTCGCTGTTCGCTGCGCTGGTCGTTCCTTCGATATCGTTGGGCACGATTCATACGCAGCTAGCCACTTTCTCCGACGAAAGGCAGTGCTCACTGTGATACGTTGAAACCCTGCGCTCGAGCACATCACGAAGTGTTCACGAAGAGAGAAGACTCGGCGCCAAAGAGAGTACAATTCTTGAACTGCAAGAGTCACACAAATTCGAGTGGAGAATTCCAAGATTACACCAACGCACTGCAAACCGGAATCCGTCCATGCACAGTCCAAAGTTCTGAACTGTCCAAATCCGTGCGGGCAGTTTGCCGATGGCTCTGCGCAAGACGTGAAAAAATGAATATAGCTCGCCAGCAAAACTGTGAGCTTGTGCGTGCTTGACTGCAACACCGGGCAGATCATCGCTGATGTAGCAAAAGTTTCCAGTGCTGAGTTCATGTCCATTTCCAAGCTCCTAGGATACGACGGTCTTGCGAGCTCGCAGTGTGTCCTCGTCATTCACCTCAAAACCCATCAAAGAATGAAGAGAATAAAGCGAAAGTATTTATTACGAGAACTGTGGTGATGGAAGACGATCGACCGAGAACAGAAAAACTCTCATGTCCTGCTATTTCCAATCCCATCAAAGAATGAAGAAAATAAAGAGAAAGTATTTATCACGATAAAATCCACGCTCTGTGCGGGTGCGGACCTCCTGCGAGCTCGTTGCACTTCCTGTCGCCCACGCTCGTCTGTTCGTGCCACCACCTCCGCTGCTGCTCTCAAATGTCAGTCTAAAACCTCAGAAAGTCTAGTAATGAGAATGTCATATTATCTGATTTTTGCCCGAGCTTGAGGAAAGGACCGCCAAACCATAGATGGCAGTATAGATTACAATCTCCCCTTCACAATTCTCTGAATACTGACTTGTTCCCAGCTTCCATCTAAACCTGGAGGGAGGCCTCTGTGTAGCCAGGACTTCGGTGGATATGATGAGCCGCGAAGACTGGATCCGGTTGCTAGAAGCTTGCAGTAACAGACCTTCGGGAGTTCGAGGGCTTTGAGCTGACGATCGAAGCCGAGCTGCTAAGAGAGGTATAAATACGGGGAGAAAGGGTGTACTCCAGTGAACGAGTGTTGTGCACGTAGACCCTTCTTATCTTGCTTTGGCGCTTTGCTCATGGTAATGCAATGAGAGCAGTTTTACATGGTTTCACCTCCTGGTCTCCACTCATTGACTTTCGCTCTCCAGGACCCTTCCTTCGAAACGCAGATCGCAGCTGCACCACTTGCTGATCGATCGATACTCGAATTTTACAGGCGGGGTGGGATAGAGATAATGTAACCAACCTCACGTCAAACCTTTGGAGACTCGAAAGCTAATATAGCCACTCTCTCACTCTCACCGAGCTAGGATACCCTCTAACTTGACTCAAAAAATTGTCACAATTCATCGGAAGAAAAACTCGAAGTTATCTGAGTTTCCCACCTGTTCACCTCGAGAGTTTTAAAACAACAAGTAAAGAAAATAGTCCCGATCTAAATTCACAATTTTCCAATCAGATGAAAGAAAATACACTCAACTCTGATACCAATTAATAATGATAATTCACACTTGACAGTAAAAGAAATACAACAAGTCAAGAAAACAAAATGGAACCTAGTTGTAACGTTCTTATATTCTGGAGATTTACATCCACGACGAGAAATATCACGCGTGAGAGTGTACTAAAAGATTCTCTTTGTAATACACAAAACATGCAGTTGAACACACCAACAAACCTCCTAGCTATCTTTTGCGAGGAACCAAGGTTATTTCATAACAGTAGTTAATTTAAAAGAACTAGTCGCGAGCTGTAAATTTCAGGTTGTATTTTATCAAGATTTATCTTTTTTATTTTTGAAGTTTGATCATTGACCAAAAATAATTGTTTTTTAGATTCTTGTAGTCAAACCTATAAGCTCATAATATTTTCACATAATTTAAGATAAGATCTCCAAAAACTCAAATATACTTTTAAAATAACTTTTCATTGATGAAACAAACAATCACACAAATATTTTATATGGAAAAAATTTATTAAATGCTCTATTTATCTTAAATAAAAATTTTAAAATAAATCTCCATGTATTTTATTTTCATCAATTTTATTTACACTTGTTTTGTATCACTTATTAATATGAGATTTTGCACCATAATGTAGATCATCTACAAAAATTTTTACTCCTAGATTAGAAAAACGTTGTCGAAAGTCTACAACTTTTAAAAATTTAATTTGCTATTGACTCAACTGATATTTAACCCAAAAAAATCTTTTATTTCATTTTATTAAAATAAGTATTTGACTTTAAATATTCAAAATATATTTTATAAATACATTAATAAAAAGTAAAATAGTTATAGCCATTTATTTTAGAATTTATTTATATATTTCATGAAATAATAAATTTGTAAATATAAATTAATTGTATGTAAAATCTCATCTAAAGAGAATGTTCTTTTTACACATACGTTCAAGTTTTTGTAAATAGCTCCAAATGAATTATTGCTATGGAATTTGAAGTGAGAATTTGAATATTGCTATGAAATATTTTGTTGATAGTTATGAGTGAAAAGTGTGTGTGTTACATAGAACTTTTAAATAACTCATCATGATCTAGAAGTTAAGATTTTTTCAATGTGACTGTATCCCATACACTTTATCATACAAAATTCCAATCAATCACACATGTCGTGCGACTCAGTATCGCCATACATCATACATCGCTGACATGCTCTATTCACAACTCACACATACATACACAAGGAACAAGAGTGTCCACACACAAAGGTATCACAACTCGTGATAACTCGAAGAACTGTCAGTTCTTCGAGTTCGCCACGAATATAACTCTCGGTCCACGACCTCAACGTGCATGGCGTCCCAACGTGTACCGCGTCCCAACGTGTATCGACCCTCAAACTCAAATATAATGTGTCTGAACTCACCTCCACACTAACGTCTCGAGCCATGACACACATCGATATTGAAAATGATAGTATAACGTAAGGTTATGTTGATAAAACAAGTATTCAAACAATGACACACATCGATATTGAAAATGATAGTATAACGTAAGGTTATGTTGATAAAACAAGTATTCAAACAATGATTATTTTTTTTCATTGTTTGGGAATCAATTCTGTACATCTACTTCTATTTTTTGAAAAATTATCATAAAAAAAATTATAATTAGTGTTTGATTTAATTTTTTAAAAATAAACCATGATAGTTTTGACTAATTCCAAATACATGACAATATGTCATTGATCTATCTAAAATTTTTAAAAATTTCCTAATCGATAGGTTAAAGCAATGATTAGCCATTTGAGATTTTTTAATTTCTAGTATTTCTATTTGTCATTAAATTAACTTTAGACTTAGTTTAACTAATTCCGTGTTCATAATTTTTTTTACACCGGTCAAATATAGTAAAAAAAAAAATTCTCTTGAAATCTAGTGTATTTATGAAATGAAATAATAATGCTCACTCAAAAACTTCTAACATTACTCTAATTTATCAAGTATATATTTGACAGCTAAATTAATCATGACTAGATAAATTTAGTTAGAATTAGCTAGACTTCGTTTTTAATTTAACTAATCATGATCACTTACTTTGTTATTTTTAATAATTACTTCACACATATAACAATTGATCTCATAGTATTATTCATTTGGCAATACATTTTAAAATTTTCTCAGTTCAATGTCCAATTGATATCATTGAGAAAAAGTGAAATGTCATGTATTCCCTATGACTCATTTGCACAGGTCTGATATTGTTCTAACAATGGACAAGGTAAATAGATATATGTCAAATCCAAAGAACACAAAAAATCAGTGAAAAAAATTCTCAAATATTTGAACGCTACTAATAGTTTATTATTTGATGTTTTATTAGACAATGTTAAAATTTTTGTTAGGTTACCTTGATGTTGATTATGGACAAGATCTGTACTAGAGTAAATTTACAACTAGATATATGTTTACACTTGGTGATGAAATCATTAGCCAGACATCTATCTTGCAAAAGTGTGTAGCTTAGTTTACAACAACAACTACATATGTATCGGCAATAATCGCGACAAAATATGCTATTTGGTTAGATAAACTTATCATTTACATGAGATTCAAACAAAAAGTTATTAATTTTCATTATGATAATCATAGTGTTTTAAATCTTGCTGCTAATCAAATGATTGACAACAAAATGTATATTCAACTATTGTTGATAACAGTGAATTTTCATTGATCTAGCTTTTTATTATTCGTGTGGACAAAATCCGAAGCATGTTTTGATGTGTGTGCTTGTTTGAATTCATATATCTTTATATCTTGTTACATTGTTCAATTTACATCAATAAATATTCAATTTTTTTCATGAAAATCACTAAAGCGATATGTTATATCTATGTTTGAGTGTTAAAAATTCAATTGACAATTTGCATTAGAATAAATATAAATTTTTTAGTAATTTGTAAATTATATTACAAAAATTTGAAATGTTATTTTAAATAAAATTTCATGGAATGCATTTATATAGAATAATAAAAGTTGCAAAATGCACTTATAATGAATGTATTGTTGTTTTCATATATTTTTTGCCACAATTATTCTTTGTTGATTGCTGATTTTAGTACTGCTTTTCTGTTGAAATATCTTGGCAAAAATATATTGAAGTTTGATATGATATAATAGTACTCTAGAATAGGTAACATCAATCTTAAAGTGTACTTTTCGATTCACTTTTTTTCGAAGTTCATGCAATTCATAAGTTGTGCATATCACATCAAAAGTCAGAAATTGAAAAGAGTCATTGATGAAAACAACTCAAATGTGAAACTCGATAATAAGCTTTTGAAATTTTCAACATATTTACAAATGTTTATGTTTTGTATTTGTAGATTTCAAGATTGTGATAATTTAATGATACATAAAATTGATACATAAATATAAAATATACCGAGAGAACAATATTGTCAACCACGTATGCGTAAAACTTCAGTAAAAAATTTTCTTTAAATCATTTTTAGTTACTTATTTTTTAAAATAACATTGTTGATAAGGTAGATGAACATTCGGCTTTTTATAATTCAATTTTCTAAATTTATGCACACATATAGCAACCCATTAACTTTGGTACCTTATAAATGAAACAAATTCTTTTAAAATGCTTCTTCCCATGCGTTTAGATTCAATTACGAAAGCAGAGGCAACAGGATATGATGAAAGTCAAGTCGTCAAAATGTGAACGCTTCCATTACCGTTACTCTCAAATTCTGAGGACTTCTCCCTGATATTTACAATAGATTCTGATGAGGAAAAATAAGACTTACAGTTCGGACTCTCTAATGTGCAACGAAAGTTGCTTTTCCATCCCATGACAAACTTCTGGAAGACTAGATAATAAAGGGTCCAGGAACCGATCGATAATCAACCTGATCGAACGATTGTTAATACTTCGAATCATCGTATGCTCTCTTAGTTTACAGGTCCCTAATGATACAATAAAAGGATCCCATACTCAAGGATTTCCATGGGACGGGTTTCTTTTTATGCTTCGAAAGTTCAAACTCACTGAGTACACTTGAAGACTGCCGCGAACTTTCAATGTCCGACCACCTACCGGCCTACGGCGGAGATTGAGGTAGATATGTCGTAGGACTTGTGCCATTGTCCATCAGCAAGTGGAACCAAAGTGTACTCTTCTGAAAAGTTTATCTTCTTCGCCAGACTCTTAACCATTTTTGAAACTGAGGTCTCTGTCTTTCGTTGAATAGTGTGTAACTCCGAAACCACTTCTTTCATGGTTGGCCTATCGTGGCCATCTCTGCTTACACACTTCATTGCAAGCTGCAATACGAGCTACGTTAGTGAGACCTTAGACATTGGGAAGGCTTTGATCGGTAATATAAGGAAACAAACAACAACACTTCACAGAAGGACGTATGTTCAGGAGTGATATCCAGTATCGACTTTCACTTGGGCCGAGAAATTGATACCTTGGCAACTGCATTCATGGCTTCCAGGATGTATGGACTCTCCACGGCCTCTGATAATATTGGATCAATGATATCCGCGAAAAGACCCTGTACTCAACCAGGAGAAGGAACGTTTCATCATATTAGCAAAAAGAAATACCAAGTCCAACAGAGAGTGAGATGCTTGAGAAACGTAGTTCAGTGAAGACATCTCTTCTTACGCAGGTGGGAACTTCCGTCGGTGAGGTCCAAATTCAGTCGAAGATTTCAGTATAAAATCAAATGAGCTCGATAGGAGTTAGTCAAATATATATGTACCTAGATATATATACCACACTTAAACGCAGCCTACTCACTTTGTGCAAACGCATTACGCCTAACTAACGTCTGAATCTGCTGCCAGCCAAAAATTCAATCGAGCACTTCGAAGAACCCTGTAGTAAGCCCTTGGAGAGGGAAAATAGGTCTAAGAATTGTACAAACCTGAGTCATCAACCGATTGCATCTGTTGACAAGATTTTGATCCCTAGGCTGTCTCCGAAGATCCACTGGTCTCTGCCCAGTGAGAATGACGAGTAGCAGCACACCGTAACTGTATACATCTGATTTGTCCGTTAACTGCAGGGCACAAAGAAGCCAATGCAAGACATGAGTTCCAGTGACATATTTCGAGTGAATTCATACTTCGAGATTTGAGAGCTCATCGAGGAGTCGAATTGCTGAGCTCTTATGTTTAGTGTGAAAAGACTTTTCGAACTGAGCAACAACGAGATCTTCAACTCACCTCGTACTGGTCCAAAAGCCCCGGGTCCTGTCAGGATCAAAGCTCAAACTTCAGTATATGGTGAATATTTCCGAATTTGAGACCACAGAATACAGAAAACTCAGAACGAGTAAGAAGAATTTTATGTGTAGTAGGAAGTACAATGTGGTCTGGGATTGTTCCTCACTGGGAAACTTAGCCCAGAATATAACCTCGATAGATAATCAGCCGCGGAATCACTGATATTAACAAATTGAATCATATGCTTTGAAGCCACTGACCATGACTGATATATTCATCTTGAAAGATACATATACTACCTGAGTATCAACGAAGTTGACTTACCATATAGCCAGGAGTACCTGCACAAATAACGAAAATACAACTCCAATCAACGAACATCATCCTGGAACATCGTTGGTTGAATAACTGCTCACAGCGTTTTCACACAAGCCAGCCATACATCCAGTTGGACTGGCACTCTAAACAATCAAAAGGTGAGTACCTTCAGTAAGCAAAAGGTAGATCGAGAGACGCATAGCAGCGGTTACAGTAACTCGTACCTTGTATTGCAGTTGGGACCGCATATGCAGCTGTGTCCTCGAGGGGGACGAGTTTCGACAAACCAAAATCAGCGACTTTTACATTGTAAGCCTTATCCAGAAGAATATTGGCGCACTTGACATCTCGATGGTAAACGGGTGGAGACGTCCCCCAGTGGAGATATGATAAACCCTCCGCTGTCTCAATGGCTATCTTCAAACGTAAAGTCCAGTTGAGGGGGGGATGACACAAATCGCTAGTGTCGTCAGCCTCTCCCTCAGCTTCCGTTGCGCGTTTCATTTGGATGTGTTCGTCCAAATTGCCATTAGAGACGAATTCGTATACCAGGACGGGTACCCGTGTCTCCAAGCAGCAACCCAGCAAGTTCACGAGATTCCGATGATTCAATTGCAACAGAATGACAATCTCATTGACGAACTGCTTCGCCTCGCGTCGTGTCTCGCCCATTCCGTGTTTGGCCTTCTTGACGGCCACCTTGGTTCCGTCCGGCAGGGTTCCTTCGAATACGGTGCCGAATCCTCCAGATCCGAGCTCGACCGAGAAGTCTTTCGTTGCCTCTCGAAGCTCGTTGAAGGTGAAGGTTTTGCAGAATTTGGCACCCTCTTTGTTCTCGATCTCATTCAGCAGCTCTTGCTGTGAGAAAATCGCTGGATCGAACGCAAGCCGCCTCCTCCGAACGAAACACCATAAAAGAATGCTGTTGATGATGATGAATACCACACCACCGACACTCACGCCTGTGTTGCCAATTCCGACAACGCGTCAACAGTCGGCGATCATACTAGGTCCGAAGTCTTGCACCTTACTTGGCCAGAAATCTTGCAACAGAATTTTTGCACCTCACTCACACTTTCCGCTCTTCCACGATTCATAAACTGGACATGATGAAACTGGAATAACGTTAATTGGATGGAAGCAGTGATTCTCGGCCACAAAATGATATACGCACCGATAATGATGGCCAAATTTGAAGTCTCTTTGCAACCAGTTCCATTTACGAGACCGTCTCCGGAAGTTCCACCTTGGCATTTACAGTTAACAACGCCAGAGCTGGTGTCGAAAAAACATTCAGCATTTGGGGAGCAGAGTCCGGTATTATTTGTACATTGGTCGATCCCTGCTCGAGTACATTCACAAATCTCTCTTTAATCAAAGAGTGGTCCGTCAATTCCGATTGACGATTGTCAGGGATGAATCCCTGACAGTCGACTGGCGGGCCTGAAGTGACATCCTCTACTCAATAATTTCATGACCCTCAGGAATATGGAAGAAAAATGGAATAGCAGGTCAAGAGAAACTTACAAATGCAATTGGTAACATTAGGAACCAGCTGGGGATCTTTACCATCGCCTTCCATTTTGTCAGGGCATTTACACTCATAGCTCCCATAGGTGTTGACGCATGTAGCAATGCTGGAGCAATTGTTTGGCTTCAAACACTCGTTGATATCTGGCATGAGCACAAGTGATGTTAGCCAAGGGATTCCCAAGCTTCCAGTCGAGTCTCCGACCTTATCACGTGAAAAGTATCCGACACAAATAAAGTGTTAAGTTTCAAGCAGACAGTGCGGCATCTTCGCTGTGCAGTACACTACCAAGACTCCCGCAACCGACCGAGAATTCAGTGTATAGAGGAAGAGGCTGAGGCATGCCATGCACTCAGTGAAACGATAAAAGCGGCAGTTCCGGTCTCGGGAAGTCAACTAGTAGCTCTCGTCTAAAGCTTAGACTTTCAAGGAAGCGAAGGATCTGGAACAAGACGGGCAGAAATCGCAATTGTAGATGCACGAGCAAATTATAAGCCCCAACTTGCCTTTACAGCCGGTGCCCAATGTATAGCCATCACCCTCGTAGCCCTGCGTCTGGCATTGACAGATGTAGCCGCCGGTCTTGTCATGGCATCTTGCATTATTGGAGCATTCAAATTTGTCTTGATCCTTTGCAGCTTCAGCGCAGTTGGTAACAGTCGCGTTCCTCTGGATTTCATACCACAGAGAGACTCCGTAGGTTCCATCACCAACTCCAGGCCCTTGTGCATATCCTCTCCCTGGTACACTAAACGTACTTGGGTACAGAAGGGTGGAGTAGCCACAATTCGGGAATTCTGCAAAACCTATTCCTCTTCCTGACATAGTCACTTCCTTGGTCAATCCTATGGTCTGAATGCAGCAGTCATACACGTTACAGTACGGCGCCACCAACGAGTTGAGACACGGAATTGGGCCGCACGACGTGCTGAAATCCACATCAGGAGACCGACCAGAAACCGTTCCTTCAGCATTGCAAGATACGACGATGAAGAAGTTGTTCTGAGAAATCCAGTAAGGGCTTTGCGCGTCCAGAGAAAGGCTGGCAGTGACCGTTGCCTCACAGCCCATCGCTTTAATTCGCGTCGCATCTACGATTATGTGGTCAGGATATATTTGCGTTACTGGTAGAAAAGACACCTCGAAATATCCATCAGCTGTGGTGCGGTTGTTGTTGAAATATTGTTGGAGAGTGGATGTGGCGTTTATGTAAGTCAGAACCGGCCACGGACCAGGGTCTGATCTATTCGTCATGAGATTTGCTCCCAGGTCGTCCCTGCACTCCAGCACAAAGTAGGAGCTGAAGGCGCATTGTGCTGATAAACCGAAGGGATACGGGATCTTGACGTTGCCGCAAACTCTCTGACAGTCTGAGTTGTTGGATTGCAATAGCATCCGGGCACTGGAGCTCGTCGCAGGTCTCTTCTCCGTACAGCGTCGGTTGTCGAAATTTTGCAATGCCAGGAAGGCGAGCACCCAGAGCACAAGCAGAGCCACCAAGCAGCTTCTACGATTCGTCTTCATGTTCGCCCACCACATTCGCAGTTTCCACGTGCCTGACTTCTGATCCCACTCATCTTCAGACGTCATGGACCGCGGATTCCCTTTGAGAAAATCGATTCGTATAATGGCGTTAGCCCGTGGATGTTCTAATTTTCAGCAGGAAGGTCGAAGTCTTGAGGTTCTAGATCGATCAAACTCCGAGGACTGGGTCGAATCAGCTACGTATTCTGCGTGTATTTGTGGACAGAGATGTCTCGGAGAACAAGCATTAGTACCACTAGCTCTCTCCGTTCCCTTCGCTCTTGTGGCACACGTTCCCCTCCTTCTTCTGACTACTACCGAGATTATTGCATTTAAACATGCACATTTTTGAAGCTGAGCGATGCGCGTTCATCGCTCATACCCCGATGCGCGTTCATCGGGGTCATCAGCAGACTCGGCTCGAAGATTTCTTCACAAAATCGAAGACATCGTCTTCGGTTCCGCAGAAGATTCAGCTCGAAGATTTCTTCACAGAGTCGAAGACATCGGCTTCGAGTCCACGAAGACGATGTTTCCGGGGTACACGCTGAACAGTGCTTGACTTTGCCTGGAGGAGACTACAGCCGCCGACTTCCCTTCCCCTCCCCCCATCTTGAAAGAGTCCACCCTCTTTTAGTATATTTTAGTATCAGGTTCAACGGAACTTTCCCTTTCAATATTAGTTTTTATACTAAGTACTTGGGATCAAAATACGTATATCTTGGGCATGATTGGAACATGCTTTGAAATATTGCAGGTGTCCTTCACTGCTACTCCATGATAGTATTATGCTGTGACAGATCGAAATGCATTCTTCTGCTCGTTTCTTCTATTGTAGTTGTCAATTTTGATTCCATGTACAAGCGTAATGTGATTTGCGAGTTCCTATGCTGTCAGGGAATCACACAACCTTCGTCGACGTCATTTCTAACGAGGGAGTATCGGGATTAGTATTCGGCCCGTTATGGAAATTTATCCGTAGCATGGCGACATGGTGGTCTAGAACCGAGACTGCTGTGTTTCTCGAGGATGAGATGTTTCTCAGATTGCTGTGCTTCCTCATTCCTAGTAACTTCTAACATAGCACATAATAATAATCGTAACCAAGTGACAATGTTCACGGTCTGTGACCTGAGTTTTAAGTCCTGCCAAGTTTCAGTAGAACTTGATATTCACTTTCTGGTTTTTATTGTGAATATATATTTCGTGGATCCAAAAAATCGAAGAGCTCATAATTTACACAGAAATATTTTAGAATAAATTAGAAACTAAAGATACTTTTAGAGGACTAATATTACATAAGACTTCACAACTATATTAGTGTCGAAAGGAGTGGACACAATTTATTAGTGATTCACTAGACTACAATTTTAAATTAGGTTGTAGACACAATTTATTAATGATTCATTAGACTACAATTTAAATTAGGTTGTAGATTACACTACACTATATGTACAAGAATTCGGTAAGAATGCTTGTACAGATTAAAATAATCTGACTGATAACAAAACTTTCTTACTGATTAAAACAATGTGACTAATAAGAAACCAATTATTCCAACATGGTATCAGAGAGTAAGTGTTTTTTTTTTATTCTCCGTTTAAGATTGCGAATGCCTTAACTTGCTGACATCAATATTTGAATTCTTTCCTCTTCTAGGTTCGGAACCATGGATATTTCAAGGGAAGAGAAGTACATTGATCCAACACAGAAACTGGATGGGATCAACAACTAAACTACTTGGGCTGCGCAAATGCGAGCCATCTTATGCAACAAAAAATGTTATGCAACAAAAAATGTTATGCGGCACTCTAACGAAGCATTATTGTATCAAATTTACTACCTGCACTTGAAGTACTCAAAGAATTTACTCATCACTCACATAAAAATGCAATTATAGCCAAGCAAGAACAAAAGGTTTCTAACAAAGAAGTTCATGAGAAAATTGACATCATTCTCAAACAACCTGATGACATTACTTACCACATTATGATGAAGGTGCATGAACACATTGTTCATCAAATGTCTACCATGTCTGATACTCACCTGATGTGGAAAGAGCTGGAGACACTGTTTGCTAGTGAGTATTGATGATAGCTCTTGCATCGTAAATTGTCTAATCTCTCAATGAGAAAGTGTCAGTCTATCAAAACTCACATGCGTGTTGTGAGAAACCTCACTAATCAACTGTCAAATTGCAATGATAAAGTCAAAGATTCAAAATTTATAATTTTTATTCTTGAGTTTGACCACGATTTGATAATAAATTGGTTCTTCCATTAAAGCTAGTATTATTCATAAACCTTATACACCTTCACAATTTTTTACTTTTTTGATGAGAAAATGATTTGTGAGTTCAAATCAAACTGAACTAGTGTATCATCCTAGTCTCTTATTGCCACCATCCAACGCAGATCTTATCCCAATTATCATGAAGATGACTCTTATTGCGATCGCGATTGTAAAGATCAAGACAAGGAGTAGTATCGTACAAATAGAAGAAGATTTTTTTCATTCCAATGATCCAATAATGATCGTAACTATCACCTCTCTTACATAATACACTTGAGAGCAACCAAAATCACAACAAATTTAACAACTCTCATGCATTTTATGGTTATTATCAAAATTATTCTCTTCATAGATACATAAATTCTTGTGATTCTACTTGGCGTTCTTAGGAAAGATCTTATGACAGCAGCATGAACAATTTTTCACTATCAGCTTCTGTGAGCTTGAAATCCTACTCACATCTAATTGGAAACATTTCTCTTTTTTCTAATATTGATGACCATATTTTGGTTAGAACCGTAAACAATCAAAATATTTGGTTTCTAAAAAGGTTTCATTTAATCTAAATCAGAAAAAAATGTCTCATTCTTTTTACGTGTTTGATGTGAAGCGAAATTTGATGTTTTTTGCATGGCTTACTGATTTAGGCTATATAACACTTTTTAACTCCAAGAACTGTTATGTGTTTGATAGAGAAATACACATAGCATACTGCTACAAGGAGAACGGGATCCACATAACAATTTATACAAGAAATCTAAGCATGGAGATCACTTACCAGTCATCACTACATCGTCTTTCCCAACACAACTTTTTTGTTTCACTTAAGCTTGGAATAAAGAAGAGCCTAAGCCTGATATTCAAACTTGTTCAGTCTCTCGGGTAGAGCTTTGGCATTGTAGTATGAATCATGCAAACTATAAAAAGCTCCACTGTATGACCTCTGAGAAGTTGGTTGTCAGAATTGCTCGGATCCATCACATTAGATATTTATGTGTAACATGTCTGAAAGCAAAGCAAAGCCGAGATTGTAACTCCTTGTAAACACTCTCGTAGTCAAACAACCCGTACATTACAATTGTTGCACTTTGACCTATGCGGGCTTCTCTCTTTTGAATCCTTAACATAGAAACGATACATACAAATGCTTATTGACGATTTTATTAAGTATTGTTGGATTTATTTTTTGAACATCAAAGACAAGGCACTACAGCAATTTCAGGATTTCAAGTTTACAGTGTAGAATACTTACAATCACAAGATCGCGGCATTGCAAATAAACAGAGTGGTGAATATTTCTCCAACACTTATCATACTTTTTGCGTAAAATCAAGTGTTCATCATGCTTTAACTTGTGCGTACACTCCACATCAAAATGAAGTTTCTGAGAAAAAAAATAGTACAGTGCTTGAGATGGCTAGAAGCTTACTTCTTTATACTCAATTATCTAAGTTACTCTCGGAGGAGTCTCCAAGGACAGCTATTTATACCTTAAATCGGCTATTGACAAAATCATTGCAAAGGGCAACGCACTTTCAGCGGTTGATAGTTTTCATCCTGAATGTCAAACACCTTAAAGTTTCTGGATGTGCAGCTTCTATCCTACTTACAACCAAGTTCAACAAACTTTCAGCTAGATTCCTACTGCTTACTTTTAAATGCTATGATATTCAATCAAAAGCATATTGTGTGTATGTGGTAACACACTTTTTGTTTTTTTGCAGAATTTAAACAATTTTAGAAAACTAGTACCGAAGCAGTGTTTGTAGTTAGAAAAGGGTACGTTAAATAGAGTGGATTGATAAGATCGTCACGAGGACACAAAGAATCACGTAGTCGGATGTACCAACGCCAATGTCTTCGGCGCCTTCGGCAAAAGCTCCTTTTCTGAGGTGTCTCTACTCACGCGCCTCCAGCGTATAAGGAAGCTACGCTTCCGGCGCAGACACCTCAAAAGGAGGTTTTGCTAAAGACGTCAGGAGAAGGGCCCGGACCTCTAAAGGCGTCCGACCGTGAGTGCGCCTTCGGCGAAGCGCCGCTAGCGCGGAAAGGGAAAACCTTCATAACGATCGGGATACACGGTAGATCCAGTTGGTTGAAGTTGCATTAGAAAGAGCTCGAGACGCTTGTTCTAACGAGCCCAAGAGCGTCGGAGATGGATCAGGGACGGAGAAGTTATGAGCGTCGGAAAACTCGCAGCCGGACATG